GGGAGAGGCCGGAGGCTCGGCCTGGGCCTGGTGGGCAGGGGGTCTGTGTGCGGGGCTGGCTCTTCTCTGCCGGGGGAGCGTGGGGAGAGCACAGCTGGCTGCCTCGCTGGGAGGTTTTCTTCTTTAATTTTCTCTTTTTTAGTCTCTTTATTGGCTTAGTTGTAAAACCAGGTCTTTTTTTTTTTTTTTTTTCCTGTATTTTTTTAATGATTGGGTGCTTGCAGATGGACAAGAGGCTTTTGTTTGTAGTCATAAGTTATTGCTGCGATCAGAACAATGTTTGGTTTCTCTTTAGCATTACTGCTGGAGGTGTAATGGATGTTAACACTGCCCTGCAAGAAGTGCTGAAGACCGCACTTATCCATGATGGCCTAGCTCGTGGTATTCGTGAAGCAGCCAAAGCCTTGGACAAGTAAGTATTGTTTGCCCATTTTGTCTGTGGTGAATAGCAAAACCGGTGAGGCATGGTCTGATGAGGTTTGTTGAATACATACAATGCACACTTTGTCCAGTTGTCTAGTATAAAGCTTTGGCAAGAACATGTTTTTCTGCCAGTTAGGTTTGTATTTTGACATCTGTGTTTTGGGATTGTAAAATACAGATGCTAAACTCGAGCATATAGTATATTAGGTTCTATCTTTTTGTGACACCAGTGGCATCTAGTTTTTGTGTATGGATCTTGTTAAAAAAAATTAAATTATGTTTGCAGCATGTAGCTATGGAAATCTGGGCCTCAAGAATCTGGTGTCTTAAGAAAGTATGTCAGACTTAAAGGGTTTATTTGTTGTTTTTATGGGAAGAACCTGAAATTTATAGCTTGTCCTTACCCCTTTGCTAGGCTTCATCTTTCATATTGCAGCTGTAAATAATGGGGTTGGTACAACAGCAGCACAATGTTGAACTTGTCATATATGTGCCAAACTTGCTAATTAGTTACGTTTTCTTGGTAGGGTGGAATGTGCTATGTATATTTGTACACATACAGACCTGTGTGCAGGTCTAAATACAGACATGTTTGTAAGAACAGGCAGTGTTTTAAGTGCAGTGCTACAGGGTTTGGGTGATGACTTAAGGTATTTGTCGGATACCCCTTCACTCTTCTTATGAGTGAGAACAGCAGTCTGACAAACCTGTATGCAAAAAGCTCTTAAGATAGCAAACAATGGAAAATAAATATAACTCAAGTGATGATTTTTGCTTGGAAATAATCTGGTGACACTCATGATGAAGGTGGCTTGCAGTGGTCAAATTCTGTTAGGTTATGCGTAGAAGACCTATACAGCTCTCTTTGTTGTCAGGTGTCCCTTTGGTATTCTTAACATTGTACTACAGTATACAAAGATCGTAATTAGAATTGGGACCCTCTCATAGCAGCTTCTTTGAACGTAAGTAGAAAATACTGCTTTGAAAAGCTTGTAACAATTTGACCTGGAAGTCAAAGCTTTTAATAACTAAAATTCTAACGTTAGGACATTGTAAATTGAGGTAAAGAAGAAAAAACTACTTGTAACGTGGTCACTTTCTAACATTGATGTTGGTTCTTTATGGGACCCAGTGTTTATCCAGTTATTGCACCTTTTTCCAATGGCTGATACTTTATTTAGTGGGATTTTTGGAAGTGTCTGAAGCTGTTATAGAATCTGATAAAGCTAACAATATGATTAGTTTGTTACGTATATAAAAAAAACAACATAAAAAGTAGTAGGTGATTATCAAAAGTGTAGTTAGTATTTCAATAGTGTATGGTGTCTCTAAACCAAATTAAACTTAGGAAATGCATGTGCTGAATGTTGCTCTTCCTGGTTTTGATAATTAAAGTTTAAGGAGTGTGTGAAGTTACAGTTGTCAGTTTTCACTTTTTTTAGACGCCAAGCTCATCTTTGTGTCCTGGCTTCAAACTGTGACGAGCCTACCTATGTAAAGCTAGTAGAAGCACTTTGTGCAGAACATCAGATCAACTTAATAAAGGTGAGAGTCAGAACTTGACACAAAAGTTGGGAACAGTTGCTTGCAATGTGAACTGCTTGTGTCAGTGTATGGAGAGCTGAACCTTCAAAGCACTATGCTGTAGTTCTGTATTTGGCTTATCTAAGCAGAATTTCTCTGAGCAGCAGAGATTCTTCTATGTGACTGTCATAGAAACAGTACAAAAAGTGGCTGTAAGTGGCAAAGGATGCTTATCAGTCATTTCACAAAGTTGAAAGGAATCTTTGTGTCCTGCATAATAAGAAATAAAACTAATGCTGCAAGTGTTCATGGATCATGGGAGGACTCCTGTTAACAAAACTTCCAAATAAAATCCTGGGAAGCTGTACAGTGATGATAACGTGGCTCCCTCTACTGATAGTGGTGAGGAAAGCAGCCAGCCGTCACCCAGCACTTCTGAGTACAGCAGCTCTTTGGCTGAACCCAGTTCTGTTAGCAATGGCCAGTTCTGATGTGATGCAATGTTTTACACAGGTTGACGACAACAAGAAGCTGGGTGAATGGGTTGGTCTCTGCAAGATCGACAGAGAGGGAAAGCCTCGCAAAGTAGTGGGCTGCAGCTGTGTGGTTGTCAAAGTAAGATCATGCTAATTACAATTTATTTCTTGACTTCTGAAAATGCACAGTAAAGATAAGATTGCTTTAGATAAGGGAGCATTAAATGAATGTTTTGGACTTTTTGTTTTAAAAGTTCCTTTCAGTTTCTGATAGTGAAAGTAAATTACTTCCCTGTTCTATATTCCCTTTCATGTTTATTTAAAACACTTACTAATTTTGTGAGTTAATGGCTGTGTCCTTAATCTATGACTTCTTGGCAGTAAGTATGAAAGGAAAATCCTTTTTGCTAGAGGAGTTTTAAGTTTTGCTTCAGAAAATGCCAGTTCAATGTATCTGCTCAACTTGAAAATGTTTTGCAGAGCATATTTTAAAAGGACACTGGTAAAGCAAAGCCACAGTACGAGCCTTGAAGACTTCGTGGTCTTTGAGGTCCCAAGAGATGGCTACATCTTCACAATAAAGACTAATGTCTTCTGCTTGTGATGTCATAGTTTTGCTAGTGTTCCACATACTTGGCTTTCTTTAAGCAGAAAGGAAGGATTTGTTTGGATCCATACCAATGGGTGTTATGCTTGAATGAAATAGGATGGTCTTGTATTAGAATAGTCATTTATTACAGAACAAAGAGAAAGCAGCTGGCAGATTGATGTTATTTGTGTGGAATTTTGGAAATACTTGGGAATGCCTTGAGAAAGTGTCAGGATTTCAGATGCCCTTTTAAAAAGAAGCTGTGAAATTTTGAATGGGTCTGTATGTTATTAATGAGTTACCTTGTGTTACAGGATTATGGCAAGGAATCTCAGGCCAAAGATGTCATCGAAGAGTACTTCAAGTGCAAGAAGTGAATGGAAAATAAATTTTGAACTTGACTAGTGTGTGTGTGTGATTAATGGGTGTGGAATAGTTCTTTCAAATGCAAAGGATAACCTCAGAAGATGAAAGGACTTTGCAGGTCTTGGTGTACCTTATTGCTATGTTAACTGTCACCTTGCTAAAAAGATAACAGCAACCCCTGCCATTCCTGTTGTGGGGTGTTTCTGTTTCCTGTTCCTACCCCAGAGGTTTAACAGCACAGATTCTCATTTTCAGCAGTGCTGAGAGTTGACTACTGCCTTGGTTTGACAGTGCTTAAGCTTGTGCTTGTGGAAGGATTCTGAGTAACTTGATAAGGGAAAGTCTGAAGTACTCCTGCATTTGTGAAAATTTGGCTCCCTCTGCTGAAACAAATGAGAACAGCCGTAACTTGATCAAATCTGAAGTGTTGCAGGAATTTTTTTAATGCTATCTTAATTTATTCAGGGAACTCACTTGACACAAGGTGTGTTTTCTTTGGTTCTTTCCCCCCCTTGCTCAGTTTTGAAGTGAACTGTGGGTAGATTTAGCTTTGTGTAAGTACTCTCAAGTACTTCTAGATGCAGTTCTGCAGTTCTCAGTAGTCGAGGTAGCCAAGTGGTTGATCTCACTGCTCATACAAGGCCATGTTGAATTCTTTAACTTGCCCAGTGACTTCCTTTCCCTAGTTAGTTCAGTGACATACAGAAATTGTCCTTTTTTTTTTTTTTTTTTTTTTCTTTTTGACAGTAAAAATTAAGTCGGGATTAGGATTTGAATTCAAGATTGTTTTTCTCCTGTAAGTAGTTGAGGGTGTCTTGTGCATTCTGTGGAACTGCTCTAAGGAGCTGCTCTGTTGTGCTGATAAGGAGGATGCGGATGATTATGTGGGTCTGAGCAGCTGTAGATTTAGGATGTGGGAATGCATACCCCTGTTTAACTTCTCAGGCTCCTGATGTGATTTTCATTTAAGTTTGGAACCCCTTTTTTTGACATTCCTAGACATTCCAGTACAGATACTGGGCGCAGATGCACTTTCTTCCACTTCTCATTAAAGCTCTCAGTGTCTTGGTTTTGGTCCTGATGGCAAAAATTCACTCCTGTAGATAAGAGCCTTAGTAGCAGATCTCGATTCAGTAAGTTACTGGAGCTTTCTAAACATTGAGAATAGAAATAATTTGTAAGAATATTCCTTTCTAAATGGACTTAAAAGGTATCTGAAAAAACTTGTCAGTTGAAGTAGGCTAATTTTAGTATCTTTGAGTGACTTCTATACAGAAGCACACTAAAGTACAATTCCATCTTTTGTCCTGTCTTAAGCTGCATCTTCCCAATTTTGGATAAAACTTAACACTGTGGTATCATCACTGGATTTCCTGTCCAACATTGTAGAGAAATGGGATATGTTGGGTAAAGCCAAAGATGTTCTGGGAGCATTCACAACCCTAGTTAGGCTAGAATAGCAGCGCCAGTTTCAGATTCCCAGTGAAGGTAGGTGAGATGTCTCCATGAATTTGGAGTTTGTGCCCTGCTTTTTACTTCTGACGAAGCAGTGAAATTCTAACAGGTCAATAGGGAAGTTTTAAAGCTGTGGGCAACACGCACACTGAATATAGTTGTATATGACTCAAGAATTGTTAACACTGTATTTGTTTAGTCAAGCTATTAGTCTTGTAATAGGTCCTTAAAAATTTTAGATAATTTCAAAACTGAAAGCAATTTGAGGAGAGCTCGGCACACCCCAACTATTCAGCTTCACAGAACAGTCTACTTAATGCTTTAAAACTTACTTTCAGTGAGAAAAGGTGACATCTTCACTATCAAGATAATTTCTGTTTCATTTATACTGTGGGATATTGGAATTGCTGCTTCAGCAGCAGCTGGGTTACATGTTTCCTCTTAATTGCAGTTGCGTACTTGTCACTGTTCGACTCAGGTCTGACAACAATGCTCTTGATTCCCTCCCCCCAAGCCCCAGGTAGGGAAGGAGAGAGAAAAAGAGAGACTTGGCTGAATTGAAAACTGAGCTACACAGCTTTAATTAAACACTAATTATAAAATACATACAATTATATACAAATATGTTCAGATATGTGCAAAAGCCTCTTGCCTACCCCCACCCCCAGCAACTCCCACAGCATCTCCTTAGCTGTGAATTGGAGAAGGCAGAGAGTGATGAGGTTCAGGAGAGCTTGAGCCTGGGGGTCGGTGGTGATGGGTGGATGACAAGAGTCCGCCCTGGCCGCAAGAAAAGGGAAGAAGAAGCAGGAAGGAAGTAATCTTCTGTGATCTCTGACCTTCCTCTGAGCTTACGTAGGTATATGGAATGGAGTATCACTGGCCAATTTTGCTGTCTGTCTAATTCTGCCTCCTACGGGGGGGTCATAGATCTCCCTGTAGTTTCTGAGCCAGCAGAGTGAAGATGTGACCTTGAAGACCCAGCAGTTAGAAAAACATCCCTCTCTTATCAGCCTTAGTTGGAAGGCTCTGTGACTAGTTAAAAGAAAGCTTACTGAAGGAAAAAAAAACAAACAAAAAAATCAGGAAAAGGAAAATTGGCTTCATCCTGGCTCAAACCAGGACAGTATTATCAGTTAACCTTTAGAAAAAGGGATTCAGGTAAGGAGTGCTGCAGTTCACAAGCAGGTTTGTTAGGCAGCCTTTCTTTTGCAACAGTGAAGTGATACCTCTATATAACTTCAGGCTCAGGCTATGATTTTATTTTTAAGTCACCTGATCATTTTCTGAGATTTAAATTCAACTTTCTGGTTGACCTTAGTCTTGTGAAAGATAATTTGGTTTTTATTCAAATTAGCCAAGGAAGAAGAGAGATTTTTGCTTCTTCATACTGGAAGACTTGGATTCTGCTCTGAGATCTCTGTAGATTAGAGAGTCCATTTCTTCACATTCTTTGGGTAGATGGTATTTTTATTTTGCCCTAAATGTATTGATATTGATGGGTCCTGCAGGATTTCAGATAAGATTGATCCAGATACTGGATGTTAGATGAGTGTGGCTGTGGCTTGATTTTTGTAGCCTGAAGAACAACAGAAGAAATGGCAAACTATTTTCTCAGTGGTTTTAGACAGTTAAGTAAATACACAGGTTTGGTGTTTTGGGTTTTTTTGGTGTTGTGTTTTGTTTGTTTGTTTTTTTCCAACTGTTGGTCAGCAAACATTTGTTTTGAGAATTTTTTTTAACAAATTGAGCAGATTAGGTGGTTAGGATGCTATTCTATATAATGAATATTTTATATAATCCTATACACATTCAGAATGTTCTCATGCATTGGCATTATTTTTGAATGAAGGTCCACCCAAAGTCCACATTAACTGCTTCATGTAGCTGACATGTTATAAATTAGAATATAATATTTTCTGGTAATAAAACACTATACACATCTGAACTTTCAGCCATTGGTGTGCCTCCTCCATTCAATTCCAAAAAATGTTTGGATCACAAAATACATGAATGAGTGAAAACTGATTTGAAAATTACTAATTTAGAGGAGCTTTTCTCCTCCTCTTCCAATTCTAAAGTAATTGGGGACACTTTTTATAGTACTTAAGCAAAGGTATTAAAAATATTTTCAGAGACCTGTGTGAGCAATATAAACTGGGGATACTTTCTATGGGTTAACTATGCTTCTCAAAAATTTACAAATGGGTATAATTTTTGTTTGTTTTAAAAAAAAACAACTTTAAATTATCACCTGATATTTCATATTTCTGAAAGATTATTAGGCCCAAAGCAGAGTTCTACAAAAATATTTATCCACAGAGGGGAAAAATGCTGATACACAAATCAACGTAATTGTTGTTTTCTTACCTGTTTGGAATTTTGTTATATGTAAGTAGTTGTCTACCTTTGTACATGTCAGGAATCTGTATCTTTGTAGCCTGAGCTTAGTGTCTGTAAGATCAGTTTTACTGTTTGAAGCACAATGGTAGAGTTGGTAATCATAGAATCATAGAGGCTGGAAGGGACCTCGAAAGATCATCTAGTCCAACCCCCCTGCCAGAGCAGGATCACCCAGAGCTCATCACAGGAACGCATCCAGGTGGGTTTTGAATGTCTCCAGTGAAGGAGACTCCACAACCTCCCTGGGCAGTCTGTTCCAGTGCTCTGTCACTCTCACAGTAAAAAATTTTTTTCGGATATTCACCTTGAACCTCCTATGCTCCAATTTACACCCATTACCCCTTGTCCTATCACTGGTCATCACTGAGAAAAGCCTAACTCCATCTCCCTGACACTCACCCCTTACATATTTGTAAACATTGATGAGGTCACCCCTCAGTCTCCTTTTCTCCAAGCTAAAGAGACCCAGCTCCCTCAGCCTTTCCTCATAAGGCAGATGTTCCACTCCTTTAATCATCTTTGTAGCTCTGCGCTGGACTCTTTCAAGCAGTTCCCTGTCCTTCTTGAACTGAGGGGCCTAGAACTGGACACAATACTCCAGATGCAGCCTCACCAATGCAGAATAGAGGGGGAGGAGAACCTCTCTTGACCTACTAACCACACCCTTTCTAATGCATCCCAGGATGCCATTGGCCTTCTTGGCCACAAGGGCACATTGCTGGCTCATGGTCATCCTCCTGTCTACCAGGACCCCCAGGTCTCTTTCACCTACACTACTCTCCAGCAGTTCAGCCCCCAACCTGTACTGGGATGGTATGTCAGTCCTTTACAAAAATACCAATGCATAAGCAGTCAGTCTTTTCTAAAAGCAGTGAAATAATAGGCATTTAGGTCAGTACCTGGCATGCCAAGTTCCTGCCCTGTAAAATTTTACAATCAAGTTATGAAACAAAAAAAAAAAAGTATTTTATGCTGACATGCAGAAAAAAAGTTTATTAAAGCAAATTTCCTGTTTTCATACTCCAAAACATTGTAATTCCAATATGCTTCATTCTTCCCCCCCCC